ACTTAGCTTCACCATGCTAACTTATTTATCATTTATTTTTAGCTCATGTTATGGGCAAAATATTAAAATATTTAGACACATTTTTATTTGCAGGATATTAATTGTTGTGTGTAACCACAGGCCAAATCGCAGTATTGCTGTTTTGCATTCAATTAAGTTATTCAAACCTTTGTTTCTTTTTGTTGTTAGCCAGATGTTAGCATTGAGAAACATTAAAAAGTCTTATATTTACTAATATCTCATTGTTTATTACAACATACTCATTAATATATGGGGTCACGTTGATTCAATATTACATCATAAGGACCACTTTAGAGAACGTTTTGTAAACACTACTTTTTGATTAGCACACTTTAGCATGTTGGTTAGCATCAAATCATAAACCTTCTTTATCTTCTCTTTAAATGAAGTGCAAGACAGTTTCTGTTGGAATTATGGACCTCTCATCCTCAGCTATTATGAAACCTTAAAAATGGAAGGCATCACTCACAGATTTTTAAAGGGCTAATCTGCACTTTAACAGCTACAGGAGCAGTTTTATGTCTGAATTCAGGAGGAGGTGGTGCATTTAGACTCCAAACCTCCTTAATTTACTAGCCTTCTCTTTTTGTTTGTCAAAAGCAACTCTTTCACACAAATGCAGTCAAAGACATTCCTCCCTCCTCCTCCTTCTGCCACTCTTTGGTCTCCTCCTAGCTCCTTTTAGCCAGTATAAAAGCGTTTCTCCAGGGCCGGCTAAAGTTCCATGCTTCCAGCCGAGCCTTTTGTGCGAGCTCAGAACAGGGGAAGTAAATCACTGCAGCAGCTGAATGGACACACTGGGACTGAAATGAGCCTGGTGTCTATTTTACAGCACACTGGTCATGAATTTCAGCAGAATGGATGTGAGGTTCTGCAGTAGATGTTGTTCTGTCCACGTGAACAACAGGGAATCACTGCTACAGAAACACCAGTGCAGTTTTACTGCATACAGCAGAGTATAATGATGCTGAATAAGCACTGGCAGAACAAAACAAATTAGAAGAAAGGCAGAGGATTTGGTGGTTTGACGTCTAATGGTCAGGAGTACAAGTTGTTATTATTCCCTTTTGTTAAAAAAGTACAAAATGCTAGCACATCACCTACATTAGTATTGATACACATGAAAACACAACGCTAATGTTAGCTCTGCTGTCTGTACCAGGACTGTTGTAGCTAATGTTAGCTCTGGTGTCTG